AAAAAAAAAAAAAAAAAAAAAGTCACAATGGCACACAACTTTAATTCCAGCAGAGCAGAAGGATTTGTTTGAGTTCAAGGCCAGCCTGGTCTACATAGTGAGTTCTAGGACAGCCAGGGTTACATAGAGAGACCCTGTCTCAAACAAACAAAAACAAACCAAGAAACTGTCTTTCTGGGCATGGTGTCGCTCGCCTTTAATCCCTGCACTTGGAAGGCAGAGGCAGGTGGATCTCTGTGAGTTAGCTGAGCCTCCCACTATAGTGAAGTTTAAGGTGTTGAGAGAATCACCTCAGCCCAGGAGTCACAGGCCAGCCTAGACAAGATAGTGGGGAGCTGGTCTCAAAAAAAAAAAAAAAAAAAAAAAAAAAGAGGCAGGGGTTGGGGGAAAAGCAAGGTGGAGATGGCAGTGCGATTCAGTGGTAGAAGACTACCTACCACCTACCAGGTGTGAGGGAGGGACTCAGGCCCCAGTGCATACGAACCCCAAACACACCCAACAAAACACAAAATGGGCCAAGAACAACCAGCGCAGGTTATGACTCAGTAACTGAACCGGTAAGTCAGCAACAGCTGCTCTAAGTACACGGGCCGTGTTAGCAACAGGCTTTGGGACATCGGGACTTTTCTGATTCATCAAGGAAGGTCCTGGCTCATCAGCCAAACAACTTACTGGCTGCATCTCTGTGAACACTGAAGAAAGGCTATTCCAGATATCCTCTAGGCCGATCTTGACACGTTTCCAAAAGGCAAGAGCTGGGCTCGGGCTCGGGCTCGTGAGTGGGAGGATGGGTCTGCGTCTCAGGTGGACAGGGACCGGTGGAGAGGTGCTGAGCAAGGTGGTATGAGAGATGCAGCCGCTGTCGGGACAGAGACTCGAGTCCAGAGGGCACTCCTCCCGGAGCTTGTTGCAAGGACATTGCTGGTAGGTGCAAGGCCGGTGCTCTGTGCGGAGTTCGCTCAGTGCCCCCACTCGAAGACGCCCAGAAAGGCCATGCAGCTTTCCGGCGCGGCTCCTGCTCATGGTCCCCGACTTACAGTGACAGTGCCATGGGCCCCAAGGCAGCAGCATCACCCGCAGATCCTCCGGAGATGGCATGGCTGTGGGTGAGGGTGGTGGCCACGAGGCGGGGGTGGAGCCAGGTGTGGACCACTGGCGCCCGGTGATCTCGGAAGTCACGTCCATAGTAGTCATGTCCACGGTAGGCTTTGAAGTGAGGGGTGTCAGTTCGGTGGTCATCCTAATCTCTGGATCCTGGCTATTGGCTAAAACTCTCCCCGTGGTGGTAGAACTTCCCCCAGTATTGTGGGTCGAAATGAGAGTCAAAGGGAAGGTGGTTTTTCTGGCATCAATCACGACTCCCTCTTCCAAGGAGCCATCCTCCTCATACTCAATGGGGTCGACCATTGACGACCGGCTAGTGCCTGTCACCGTGGACAGGAGCTCAGCGGCTGCCGGCGCGGCCAGGCGGTCAGCAACCGCCAGGGCATCGTTATCATCCTCCAGAGTTACCTTCATCTTCTGGGGTACACTGTTCTGGGAGGTGATGCTTGTGCTCCGGCGGCTGCGGGCGGGGCCCCCAAAGCGGAAGCTGATGCTCTGCAACCCAGTCGTCGGGGAGTTTGGGGTGGCGGTCGGGTTTGACGTCTGGTCTTGGGCCCCCGCCGCCCGGGGCCCCAGACTAAGCAGCAGGGCCCAGAGCAGCATGCAGGCGGCGGGGACCATGGGGCTGGGAGGCTTGGGGTCGAGAGGTAGGCCCAGGCTCCTACCTTCTCTCCCTCCCTTCCGCTCTCCACGAACCTGCCAGGTCTAGAGGTCGTTTGAACCGACCAGGAGGGTGCTCCAAGGCGCGTGCCACCACGCCCTTCCCCCTAAGCGCTCTTCCCGAGCAGGGCCAGCGGCCCCAGGGGCTGAGCTAAAAATCCTGAGGAACCCTGGCAAGCAAGAATTCTGCGCCAGAACCGAAAGGTGAATTATGATGTAAGGACTTGGGGGGGGGAAACTTGTTCGACTTCAATCTCTCATCACGGTTTATTAAAGGCCACAGGTCTGAATTTACTAACAAGGGTGAAAACAGGCTATAACAGCAGTCCTTCCCAGGATCACGGGCAGCAGACTAAGAAGGGGTTGGCTCTTCGAGATTTTGCAAGCTGGCTCCTGGGATCCAGCAGACAGGCTGGTTGTGGTTGTTGGTTATAAGCCTTCACCTTCCCCCCACCTCCCCTCAAAAGACCGCTAAGATGACCAAGACGGGAAGGATCCCAGAGGTTTTGATTACAGAGAAGAAAACCGAGACCCACACGTTTTATAGTTAAAGCAGAATTAAAACCCAGAGCTCTGCCCTTCCGTGGCCACACCACCTCTTCCTTTCTGACAGCCAAAATGCAAGCCACCCCACGTATGGGGTTCCCACCCTCAAAACCCAGCTTGAAGGCAGTGTCCAGAAGAGGGTATCCGCCGGGAAGCGAGGATCCAGTGGAATGGGGGTGGGGGCCTGGTTCAGGATGAGATGGTTTACAGAACAGCTCCAGTGTGCAGAGCGATCGCCATCTTGGCCTGATTCTACGGCCCTTTGTCCAGTTCCAGTTAAGTGCCTCTTGAGCCGTGGAGATCCTGGTCCAGCCTACAGAGAGGTGGGGGGAAGGAGTTCAGGGTTCAGGATTTGGGGGTTCTTACTCCTCTGTTATGGGGAAAGAAGTAGGTGAATTGGAGGAGCTAGAAATTGGGTCCCTTCCCATCTCCTGCTCACTAACACACTCCCGACTGGATAGTTTCTCTTGGCTGCTGCCTTACCTCTTCGTAATTTGTAAGGCTGCACCGGACCTCCTGCGTCTCCCATGCTGGGATTGTTGGATGCCCCCGTCAGTGTCTCTTGCATAATAATATTTTTCATTGTTCTTTAAATTTTGTTTACATTTATTTATAAATGCGTGCCATGGATTTATTCTAACATGTAGGTTTGGGGGTCAAAGTTAAGCTTGTCAGTGAGTAGCTTTACCCCCTGAGTCATCTCATGGCCCCCTTCATGTTCCCGACAAATATAATAGTATCCTTCATTTTTTCTCTATGTAGTTTTCCCACTGAAACAGCCCAAAGCAGGGCCTGTGCGTCTTAGTTCTTTGTATCTCCCCAGAGACGTCGAGACACAGGATTGGCTTCAGACACCCCATTCCCAAACCAGCATCCTTAAGGGCAGGACTCACTGTCTGACAACTTCAGGGATGTGGACTTGGTCTAGGGAGATGAGTTGGGCCAGCTCCCCAAGGCTGTCCAGAAATCGGATCTTTCGTGTGAACTTGGAACTGAAGAGAGAGAATAAACCAATTAGGTTTTGTACTGGGAGAGTGATCCTGGAGGATGTCACAGAGGGAGATGCAGCAAGCAGAATGGTAAGGTTAGGAAGAGAGTAGGGTAAGACCCCCTTAATGTCACAATAGACAACAGAGAAAGCGACGGCCTTGGGTCTTGAACTAGTACCTGATAAAGGGCCGAACCAGTGCCAGGAACGCCTTCACATACCACGTGGCGTGGACAACCACCAGGGCTCGAAGGTTTTTCCGAAGCCTGAGGAAGAATCCAATACGATCACAGATGTTCCCTGTTCCACCTTTGTCCGTGAAGAACAGGTGGGTTGTCATCTATGCTACAGGCTCCTTGGTGTCTCTCTCCCGAAGTTCTCTGGCAGTTGTGCCTGATCCCCATGCCCTGAGCTTGTCCCGATGTATTCAGCCATCTGTACTCCATGTTTAGGGGAATGTTCCTTTACAGTACCCCCGTCTCTGCAACTCATTTCTCTGCAGCCCACATAAATCCCTTTGGCAAACGTCTCCATCTTTTCCACTGTGCAGCCCAGGGACACTAACACTCCAAGTGGAAGTCAGGGGTAGCGATGCCTGTGATTTCAGCACTCCGCTGAGACCCCAGCAGAGGCAAGAGGATCAGGAATTCAAGGCCAACTAGGGCTACATTGAGAGTTTGAAGCCAACCTAAGCTCCACGACCCCCTATATAAAATAAACCCCTGGGGCTGGAGAGATGGCTCCGCGGTTAAGAGCACGGACTGTTCACCCAGAGGACCCAGTTTCAATTCCCAGCACCCACATGGCAGCTCACAACTGTCTGTAACTCCAGTTCCAGGGATCCAACACCTTCACACAGAATACACACACACACATACATACACACACACACACACACACACACACACACACACACAAAACTCCGGTGCACATTAAATAATAAATCTTTAAAAAAAAATAAACCCCTTCCCTAAACAAGAAACAACAAAGCTCTTCAGTAGGAGGGAAAAGATCAGCAAGGAGGAAAAAGTGGAAAAGATGCAAGAAGGAAGAAAATTCAGGAAGGGTGAGATGGCCAAGCCAGGCACGGTGATAGCACCTGTGATGTAAGCACTGGGGAGGTCGAGAGGCAGGAAGGCCAGGAGTTCACGATTACATTTGGTTACACAGATAGTTCAGGACCAGCTTGGATTAAATAAGACCCTGTCTCCAATTGAAAAATAAATAAATGGGCCGGGCGGTGGTGGCGCACGCCTTTAATCCCTAAGAAGTCAGAGGCAGGCGGATCTCTGTGAGTTTGGGGCCAAGCCTGGTCTACAAAGTGAGTTTCAGGACAACCGAGACTGTTACACAGAGAAAGCCTGTCTTGAAAAACCAAAAACAAAAATAGATAATGAAATAAATAAATGATGAGGAAACAAAGGAGAAAAAGGACAAGATGGGGGGTGGTGGTGTGGTTCACACATCCTGGAGGAGGGAAGAGGGAGAGAAAGCAGTGGAGGTGTGGAAAGGAAGTGGTAGACTGGGGGAGGGGAAGTGACTCTGTGACCAGCCACATGCCGGGGGACGCACAAGGAACCTGAGCAGGAAAATAAGGGACCTGTCCAAAGTGTAGCGACTGAGTCCTAAGGGCCAGCCGTCCCTGACTCTGCAGGATACTACAGGAGACACTTCCAAAGAGATGGAGGAGGAAGAAGGGAGTCAGGCCGGTGACTCAGGCCGGTGACTCCTCCAGAGGCCTTGAATTTGAAGACAACAGGCGCCACACAGCAAATCATCCTCAGAAAAGAAAAGAAGGGAACAGCAAAGGGTCAAACGAAAAACGAGGAAAAGTGGGAAGACACAGTGGAGAGCTGCGTCCCCCGCTGGTGCCCGGGGTCTCACCTCCTATCCAGGGTGCGGTAACACTGGCGTATCCAGCCCAGGGGCGGCACTTGGGCCCTACTTGTGCCTCCACTCAAGTGGACAAGCAGATAATTTTCAGCTACCAGCAGCTCCAAAGTTCCCACCATATACCTGGGGAACAACATTTCAGGGAAGGGGTGTGCTGTGTGCTTTTGGAGAGCTTCTCCAGGCCGCTATTGATTTTGGACGGGGGTCTTTCCCACTCCCTTCCCTTGGCCCCCTTTACAAGCCCGGTCAGGTTTCCGCCTCACGGTCAGGTTTCCGCCTCACCTGAACAAGTGTTCCATGACATTGGTGTAGTTGGGAATGCTGCTTCGGGGGAGATAGCAGGAAGCGAAGAGGATGACAGCATTGAGGCCATCACCATGGTAACCTGGGGACCAAGCCGAGGAAAATTCACTCAATCTGTAGACGGACAGTACTTCTGTTTAAGATGAGGGATACTGAGGGTCTTTGGAAGTCACAGGAGGGATGCTAACAACTGAGTCTCCAGCTAAGGCTCGTGAGTCAAGAGGGTTTTCTGCGGGTGGGTGGTTCTTTATTTTGTGTGTGAGTGTGCTGCCTGCACGTATGTGTGTGCCCCATGGGGAAGAGAGGAGCTTGTGAGATCCCCTGGAACCGGAGTTACCGACCGTTGGGAGCTGTCATGTGATTGCTGGGAAGCAAGCCCAGGTGCTGTGCAGAGCGGCAGGCGCTCTTACCTGCCGGGCCAGCACAACTGTTACCATAACTGCTGTTTTCATTTATTATCACTGTGTATGTGCATGCATGGGTCCGTGTGGGGTCAGCGGACAACTTTCACGGAATTATTTCTCGCCTTGTACCGCTCCCTGGCTCTGGGGATCAAACTCAGGTTGCCAGGCGCGCACAGCAAGCACCGTTACTCACCGGCCCAGCATAGCTTGCGTCCTGGTGTCGCCTTGGCCCTTACCTCCATGAGACAGCACTTTCTTGTAGGGCTCGATGATGGTCATGTCCACTCGCTGCTCTCGCTGTCCTGTTCGGAACACCCTCCAGCGATGACCGTCTTCTCCAGCCACGTCCCACACGCAACCCCGGCCCAGCCTTTCAGCTGCCTCACTGGCCCCCAGGCCTTCTGCTCGGGGCAAATCATCTAAAACGCAGGTGGGGGCGTGCACAGGGCAGATTTCTTGTAATTCTCCTGGATTGCTAGAGTTTACTCCTCAGTGTGTGTTTGTTTGTTTGTTTGTTTGTTTGAGTTTCTGAGAGAAGGTCTTCACTATGTGGCTTAGACTAGTCTCCAACTCGTGATCCTTCTGGCTCAGCTTCGATTTTTTATTATTATTTATTTGTTTATTTATTTATTTTTCTGGACAGGGTTTCTCTATATAGCTTTGGAGCCTTTCCTGAAAGTCACTCTGTAGACCAGGCTGGCCTCAAACTCACAGAGATCCGCCTGCCTCTGCCTCCCGAGAGCTGGGATTAAAGGCGTGCGCCACCAAAGCCCAGTTTGAGTGCTACGATTACAGGTGTTCACTACTGCATCTTGCTGAATTTACTATTTAATCTCTCATGTTTCAATATTTTAATTGGCTCTCAGTTTATCCAACTAACTCAACTCTTTGTGTCCTTCTTCTAGCCCTTCTTAGCTTTCCCTGTACCCTTAGGATGTTCTCTCCTCTCTCCCCCTCTCTCTTCTCAGTCTCAAGCTGCCTGGACTGGTCCTCAATTCACTATGTAACCAATGATGTATGGTTTCTACTAGGGATCAAACCCCGCACTCTGTGCATGATAGGCAAGCAGCGCTCTGAACTAAACTACATTCCCATAGCTTTTTTTTTTTTTTTTCCAAGACAGGGTTTCTCTGTGTAGCTTTGCGCATTTCCTGGAACTCGCTTTGGAGACCAGGCTGGCCTCGAACTCACAGAGATCGCCTGCCTCTGCCTCCCAAGTGCTGGGATTAAAGGCGTGTACCACCACCGCCCGGCTTTTTTTTTTTTTTTTTAAAGATTTATTTATTTATTATGTATGCAGAATAGGGTGCCAGATCTCATTACAGATGGTGGTGAGTCGCCATGTGGGTGCTGGGAATTGAACTCAGGACCTCTGGAAGAGCAGTGCTCTTAACCTCTGAGCCATCTCTCCAGCTCTTTTTTTTTATTTTTATTTTTTTATTTTTTAGTCTCAATATGTATTCCATGTAGGTATTGAACTACAATCAATCCTCCCACCCCAGCCTCCCCAGTAGCTGGGATTATGAGTGTGCTTCATAGCATCCAATTTACACACTTCTTTCTTTCTTTCTTCTCTTTTTGAGACAGGTTTTACTCTGTAGCTCTGGCTGCCCTGGAACTCATTCTGGTTGTTGACCAGGCTAGCCTCAAATTCACTATGTATTAAGGACGATAGTTTTCTTGGTTAATCATTTTTTGTTTGTTTGTTTCTTGTTGTTGTTTTGTGTGTGTGTGTGTGTGTGTGTGTGTGTGTGTGTGTGTGTGTGTGTGTGTGTGTGTGTGTGTGTTGGTTTTTTTGGAGACAGGATGTTTCTGTTTATCCTTGGCTGTCCTGAAAATCAATATGTAGATCAGGCTGGCCTTGAACTCACAGCGATTTGCCTATGTCTGCCTCCTGAGTGTTGGGATTAAAGAATTGTGTCAACAGGGCTGGAGAGATGGCTCAGAGGTTAAGAGCACTGACTGCTCTTCCAGAGGTCCTGAGTTCAATTCCCAGCAACCACATGGTGGCTCCCAACCATCTGTAATTTGATCTGGTGCCCTCTTCTGGTGTGTAGGCAGAATACTGTACACACAATAAATAAATAAATCTTTAAAAAAAAAAAGAATTGCGTCAACAGCTGTGCAGTGGTGGCACACACCTTTAATCCCAGCAGTGGGAGCAGAGGCAGGTGGAACTGTTCGAGGCCAGCCTGGTCTACAGAGCGAGTTCCAGGACAGCCAGGGCTACACAGAGAAACCCTGTCTTGACAAAAAGAAAGAAAGAAAGATGTGCTAGCAACCACGTCCAGCTCTGGCTCTTTACAACACGGGTTTGTGGGGATCTAACTCAGGTCCTCAGGCTTGTGGGGCAAGGAGGAGGTATCAGCCCAAGTTGTTTTCAGTCTACAGCCATTAATGTGCCCAGACATCCCATGATCAACACTTTCTGTATTCCTCATTGTCTAGTCTACAGAAGTCTACACCCTTAGCACAGCGGCCACCATGACCCCAACTCTGCCAGCCTAACCCAACACTAGCTTTTCATACTCTTCCTCTGCCTCCCAGGCCTTGGTGTCTAGTCAGGGTTTGTGCTTTGACTCCCCAGTGTGCCATGCCTGACCGGCTCCATCTACCTAGAACACCCCTCTCTCTAACCCTGAGGTACCCGACCCTTAGAGTTCACACCCTGCTTCAGAGTCTCCTCAGAATCCCTAACATCCACACAGAGAGGGCCCGACCCTCAGCCGCAATTATTTATAGGCAGTTATTTCTACTAAACACTGTTTCCTGAGAGCGGAGTACCTTGTGTTTCTATTTGTTTGTTTATTTAGTTCATGTAGGAGACAAGCTTCCTTTTGTAGCCTAGACTGTCCCGACTCCTGGCAATCTTCCCACCTTAGCCTTAGAGCCGGGCCACAGGAGTGCAGCCTCCCTGCCCCAGCTTTTTGCCTTCATAACCCCAGGCCTGTCAGGTGGCATCTGGTGGCTGTAGTCCCAGCACTTGAGAGGCCAAGACAAGAAGGGTCTTGAGTTTGAGACCAGCCTGGGTTACAAAAGAGACCCTGTCCCAAACACAACACTATTAAGAATTCAGTCCTAGTTCAGGAAAGCGTGGGACAGGCTTTTTTTTTGAGACTGGCTTTCTCTGTCTCAAAAAACAAACACCTCTGGCTGCTGTGAAACACGCTCTGTAGCCCAGGCTGGCCTTGAACTCACAGAGATTCACCTGCCTCTGCCTCCTGAGTGCTGAGATTAAGGGTGTGCGCTACCACTGCCTGACGCTTTTTTTTTAACCTCAATATTTTTCTCTTTTGTTTGTCTGTTTGCTTTTTTATTGATTTTTGAGACAAGGTCTCACTATGTATCCCAGGCTGGACTCGAACTCTCAGAAATCGGCCTGCCTCTGCCTCCCGAGTGCTGAGATTAAAGGCGTGCATCACATGTCCAGCTTCGGTCTTTTTCTCAATTTCCCCTCCCAGCCCCTCTAAAGCTGTTCCTTTCCCTTTCTGAGGAGATCAATGCTTCTGCTCTCTCCTCTCAGTTACTATATCATCTGCTCTTTAATTTTTAATGTGTATGGGTGTTTTATCTGCATGTATGTATGCGTACCACATGCATGCCTGGTGCCTTTGAAGGTCAGAAGAGGATGTCAGATTCCCTGGGACTGTAGTTACAGACAGCTGTCATGTGGATGCTGGGAATCGAACCCAGATCCTCTGGAAGAGCAACTAGCGCTCTTATCCATGGAGCCAACACTTTCGCCTCCCTTGTTATCCTAACATCCCATCCCATCGGTCCACCCGGGCTTGCATTTTCTATCAGTTTCTGTTTTATGAGCCGCATCCTTGGTTTTGCTCCCACCTTCCCATTCAAATTCATGTCCGCTGTCCAGCTGTTCAGAGTCTGAAGGCGTCTCCAGCTCATCCACCTCCAGGTCCAAGCTGCCACCAGAAGAGGAAGAGTCCGAGTGGGCGGGAGACGCTCCAGTGTCCCCTGCTCCCTCAGTCAGCTTCAGCTGCAGTTCTGGGGCAGAAAGACGCTTTCGCATAGGGCGCTGGCCACACAGGGCCAGGGTGCTGGGGGTACCCGTGGCTGGAAGACAGGAGGGGAATACCCAAATGGAAAAGCCATGTGAGCTGATGGTGACTCCACATCCCTTGTGGAGTGGAGCCAAATGCCTGTGATCCCAACACTACCAAGGAAGAGACAAGAGGATCAAAGCCAGCCTGGGCTACCAAAACGAACGAACAAACACACAAGGACTTCTCTGTGCACAAGTCATGAAACCAGGCTTAGGGGCTCATATATGCAATTTCAGCATTTGGGAGACAGAGGCAGGGGGATAGCTTGTCTGCTTGTTTGTTTCTACGTGTATGGGTACTTCTCATGCATGTTTGTCTGTATACTGCATGTGTGCCTGGTGCTCTCGGAGCCTGCAAGTGGGTGTCAGATCCCCTGGGACTAGAGTTAAGGATGGTTGTGAGTCACCATGTGGATTCTGGGACTCAAACAGAAGAGCAGCCAGTATTCTTAACTGCTGAGCCATCTCTCGGGCCCCCGATGACTGCAAGTTTGAGGCCAACTCTGACTACATATGAGTTCCAGGCCAGCCTGGGCTATAGGGTTGAGACTGTCAAAAGATACTTCAGTCACTGGGCAGCGGTGGCGCACGCCTTTAATCCCAGCACTCCTGAGGCAGAGACAGGCAGATCTCTGTGAGTTCGAGGCCAGCCTGGTCTATAAATGAGTTCCAGGCCAGCCAGGGTTACATAGGGAGACACTGTTTCAACCCAACAAACAACAGTAACAAAAGCCACCTAAAATAAAAATTTAAAGGAGGTAATTCCTGTGACTTCTGAGACAGGGAAGTGACCAATAGGGCAAAGGGAGATGGAGAAAGTGGACTGAGGGACAGAAGCCACAGTGAGGACTCCTGCCTGAAAGACAACCCCAGCAGACTCTAACTCGGGGCTAGCTACAATTTCTTCTCCCTACCTGCCTGTGAGTCTCTGTGAGGGTCTTCGGGATCTTCAGTCGGGCTAGCCTCCTCGGGAAGCAATCTAGAGGGGAGGGATTAAACAGGCACTTAGACACAAACCCCCAGCCAGGGAGCCCCGTTTCCTCCCTCCACCATAACTGTTTCCTCCCTGGTCTCTTTCCCCTCCCCTGTATGTGTTTTGTCTACATCTATCCGTGCACCACATGTGTGCCTGGTGCCCTCAGAGCCCAGAAGGTGCCAGATCCCTTAAGACTGGAGTCAAGGATGGTTGTGGGCCACCATGTGGTTCTGAGAATCAAACCCGGCCCCGGGCAGGGCTCTGAGCCTTACCTAGGAAACTCTTCATCTTGCCATTCTTCCCTCAGCTCCAGCTCTCCAAGTCTCAGGGCGGCTCCTGGCTCTGCAGCTCCTCCTGCTTTCTCCCCAGCCCTGATGTCAGCACCCCCCCCCCCCCAAGAAGAAAAGATCATGAGACAACATGAACAGTGTCCGAAGGGAGCCAGACAGTAGGTGGCAGACGCCGGTGTGAAGAACACGTCCCAGAGGGCACTGGTCTATGTCTACAGATAGTCCACCTTCTCTACCTGACTGCTGCCCGCTGCTGTGCTTGGCAGAGGGAAGGGCCATCAGGTAATCCCCCTGCCTCCATGCTAGTGGTTTCACCTACGGTGTAGGAGCGGAAGGCGGCCCACATCATCACAGCTGGCTGGAACCCAGACGGACCTGCCCAGTTAACCCTGCGCAAAGCGGTCGCAGATGACACCTAGTCAGCCCTGCCTTTCCTCTGCTGTGCTGGGAAAACATGGCACAGGAAGGGGAGAAAGGAGAGGTCCACTGGGAAGCAGAACCGGGCTGTAAATGTGGTTCTGGGCCAGGCTTCCTAATGGCCATTCTAAGAGAGGGTGGGAGTTAGATTAAGGAGAGAGAGAGAGAGAGAGAGAGAGAGAGAGAGAGAGAGAGAGAGAGAGAGAGAGAGATCTATCAGCTAGAAGACAGGAACTTTAAACTGTGGAATTGGTTCCATACTGGATTAATTTCCTGCCCCCAACCACCCTGTCCCTTCTCTGCAAATTCCTTCTCTTCATGCTCTTCTTTGAGGAACCCGGGAGGGCTGGGTGGTAGGAGACGCCCTCCCTCTGTCTCCAGTCAGGCCAGGCCCTTGCTTACCCGACTTCCAGTGTCTTTTTTCCTGTTTCTTGTATAGTGCCCATCTTCACAGGTCGTCCTGGGTTCCTGGGACACTTTGCGAACGGGGAGGCCGTGGTCCCGGCCCCCACCTCTCCTTCCTTTTCTGTCTCACTGCTGCTCTTGCCTCTGAGGAGGCAGGGGGTGTGGAAGGGAGGTAACCTCATCTTCAAACAGGTTTGGCCACCTCCCCTCCCAAGGAGCAGGTTTGCCCAAGAGCCCAGCCTCTCGCGTGGGGGCGGGCTTTCGGGTGGAGCGTGGGATGTCTAAGGTGGCGATTTGTTCTCCAACCAGATTCTCTATAACCTGGAAGCCCTTTTAAAGGGGGATGGGGTGGGGGGCACTAAAAGATAATTGTGTGTGTGTGTGTGTGTGTGTGTGTGTGTGTGTGTGAGTGTGTGCATTCTGGGGAAGCCTGAAGCTAACGTTGGATATCTTCCTCAGGAAATCTGAGGCAGGGTCTCTCAATTGAGCCCATAGCTCACTAATTCTTCTTGTTTTAGCTAGCCAGCTTAAACCCCTGGAGGGATCCCCCGAGAGCCTGGGTTACAGGTGGATGTCCCCTGCCTGCCCAGCCTCTGCATGTTCTGGGGATCCAAACATGGCTCCTCTTGCTTGGATAAGTGCCTCTCCACTAAGCCAGCTCCCCAACCCTTTATTTTATTTTCCAGTGTCTTACATTTTAGAACAGTCTGATGTGGAATGTGTGGGTGATCCTTCTGCCCCGGTTCCTATCAGGAGCTAGGTCTTACTTATTTTTAAAATATTACTTATTGTATGTATGTGAGTGTATGAGTGTGTGTATGTAGCCACACATGGACAAGGAGGCCAGGAGAGGGTGTCCTCCTCTCTCATTTTGCCTGTTTCTTTGAGACAAACCTGGATCTCTAAACCTGGATCCTGGCTCTTGCATTGGTTAGGCTGGAATCCAACAGCAGTGTTCCCGTCTCTCTCGGAGCTGGGGGTACAGGCCTTTGTAGAGCTGCCTGTCTTGTTACATGGTGCTGGGATCTGAACTCCAGGCTTCATGACTGAGGAGAAAGCACTCAACTGTGGAGCCTTCTCTCTAGCCCTGGGAGCTTAAAACAGGTTTTGGGTTTGGTTTTAATTTTATGGGCCTGAGTGTATGGCCTGCATGCATGTCTCTGCACCAGGTTCGTACCTGGTGCTCTTGGAAGATAGAAAAAGGTGTTAGATCTCTTGGGACTAGAGTTACAGATAGTTGTGAGCCCTGTCAGTTCTGGGAAATAAACCTGGGTCCTCCGGAAGAGCAGCCAGTGCTCTTAACCACTGAGCCATCTCTCCAGCCCTTAAAATGTAATTTTTAAAATCCATTTTTTTGGAGTGTGTGTGTGTGTGTGAGACATCTTGTGAGAATTCGTCTCTCCTTCCACCATGTAGGTCCTAGGGATCAACTTCAGTTGGTCATCTTAGCACTGGGTGCCTTTGTCCACATCGTCTCGCAACCCCAGCAGATAGCTTTTAAAAGCCGGTCCTGGTGAAGGCCTGTAATCTCAGCTACTCAGGAGGCTGAGGCAGGACTGCAAGTTCAAATCCAACCTGGGCAACTTGGTGAGACCCTGTCTCAAAATAAAAAGTTAAAAATGGTCAGTGGTAGAACACCTGCCCAGCATACATGAGGTCCTAGGTTTAGTCACCAGAATCATACACACATACAGGCAAAGCTAGGAACTATTTTGTTTTAAATTTTTATTTATTTATTTTTACATAGTAAGACCATTATTATTATTATTGTTATTATTATTTTCATGCAGGCAAAAAACATTTATTTTTTTCATCTGTTCAGAGAGCTATGTTTTACTTACGTCATGTAAGTGAGATTCCTATTCATCTTCCCTTTCACTGTTTGATTTACGGCAGACATTTTTCTATAGGCTAATCCATAATCTAAAAAGATTTTAGCCTCCCCTTCTGAAAGTATGGCCAGCATTTTCTTTCATCAGCTTGATATAGTACAAATTCTTATCCTAACAGTGAAATGTTTCATTAAAGCTTGCCCAGTGATTGGGTAAAACCAAAACTTAGTATAAGCCACAGTCATCCTAGGGTTCCCCCCACTAGGTAGCCTCCCTGGATCTGTGGGTTGCAGTCTGATTGTCTTTTGCTTTGTATCTATATCCACTTATGAGTGAGAACATACCATGTTTGTCCTTCTGAGTCTGGATTACCTCACTCAGGATGACATTTTCTAGTTCTATCCATTTTCCTGCAAATTTCATGCTGTCATTGTTTTTCTCTGCTGAGTAGTACTCCATTGTGTATATGTACCACATTTCCTTAATTCATTCTTCAGATGACGGGCATCTAGGTTGTTTCCAAGTTCTGGCTATTAAGAATAGTGCTGCTATGAACATAGCTGAGCATGTATCTCTGTGGTGTGATTGAGCATTCCTTGGGTATATGCCCAAGAGTGGGATGGCTGGGTCTTGAGGTAGATCAATTCCCAATTTTCTGAGGAAACGCCATATTGATTTCCACAGTGGTTGTACAGGTTTGCATTCCCACCAACAGTGGAGGAGTGTTCCCCTTGCTCCACATCCTCTCCAACATTGACTGTCATTAGTGTTTTTGATCATAGCTATTCTGACAGATATAAGGTGGCATTTCAGAGTAGTTTTGATTTGCATTTCTCTGATGACTAAGGATGTTGAGCATTTCCTTAAATGTCTTTCAGCCATTTGAGATTCTTCTTTTGAGAATTCTCTGTTTAGCTCTATTGCCCATTTTTTTTTAAAGATTTATTTATTTATTATGTATACAGTATTCTGCCTGCATATATGGCTGCAGGCCAGAAGAGGGCACCAGATCTCATTACAGATGGTTGTGAGCCACCATGTGGTTGCTGGGTATTGAACTCAGGACCTTTGGAAGAGCAGTCAGTACTCTTAACCGCTGAGCCATCTCTCCAGCCCCTATAGCCCATTTTTTAATTGGATTGTTCAGTATTTTGATGTCTAGTTTCTTGAGTTCTTTATATACTTTGGAGATCAGTCTTCTATCTATAAGTCTATCTATAAGTCCAAGTCCTCTATCTATAAGTCCTCTATAAGCCCTCTATCTATAAGTCCTCTATCTATAAGTCTATCTTGGGCCTACTTTTCCAGCGTAAGGGAAACAGAAGAGACAAGTTGGGACCTCACATCTGAAATCCCAGCGCGGGAGAACTCCTGCAGGATTACTATGCATTAGAGGTTGGCTTCAGCTATTTGATTACACAAGGGCAGTTTAGGAGACTGTCTCAAAAAAGGAAACAAAACAGGCCAGGTGTGGTGGCACACGCTTTTAATCTCAGCACAAGGAAGGCAGAGGTAGGCAGATCTCTGAGTTCGAGGTCAGCCTGGTCTACAGGACAGCCAGAGCTACACAGAGAAACCCTGTATGGAAAAACCAAACCAACCAACCAACCAAACACCCAAAAAAACAAAAACAAAAACAAACCCCAAGGCCACATCTGACTATTTTAAGGAAAGCTCTGGGAACAGGAACCAAGGAAAGGTCGAGGAGGAAGGAGACAGCTCATAGCTGAGTCAAGAAAGCAGTTATGGGAGACCACGAGACGAGTCTGTAGGTGGTGCAGCCATTATCCGAGGGAAGGCCTGGTTACCCTTTAAAAAGAGACACGACTTCAAACTGGAAGAGAGTATTTAATACAAAACAAAAATGCAAAACCAAGTACCAAAGGCACAGGACATAATCCCTTTGGTTCAGTGATGGCACCAATATTTCACGTTCCCAATGGCTACAGACGTCCTACCCCAAATGAAGTCAGACTGCCCCAAACCACCACACACCCTACAGTTCGTCAATATTGTTTGCAACTTATATGGGGTAAGAAGAGGGGAAGGAGGCTGGTTTGAAAAACAGGGGGTAGGGAGAGACTACACATGCAGACAAGTCACTGGGAGAGTTGGCTGCCGGGTCACAATATATCCCTGTACATGCTACATGAGGCTAAGTCCCTTGGTACGATCCCACATAAACACACACAATCCAGTGACCCTGAGCACTCCCCGGGGAGACAAAGGAAAAACACAAAGAAGCAGAGGAGGGAAAGGGAGACAGGGAGAGGCAGGTCACAGAATACCAGGGAACATCTACTCCTAACCCTCATCTACATGGGGAAAATGACCAGGACAGTGAAATGTCTCACCAGAAGACACTATGCTTTCTTTAACGTGAGCAAAACCAGAAAAAGATAGACAAGAACCTGCCAGACCCACTAAGGCCCAATCAAGTTCTGCCCTCTTGGCAAAAAGTACCTATGAGGTACTGTAGCTGCCCTGGGTGCTAAGTGACCCCAAGAACCTCAGATCCCCAGGGTCTCTTTGGGCTTCCTGTGATTCTGGGACAAAAAGAGCCAAAGAAAGGAAATCCAGCCATGTGTTCAAGACAAGAGACTAGCCAGGTATGGTAATACGTGACTACAATTTCAGCACTCAGGAGGATTAGGAGTTCAAGACTAGCCTCAGACACGTACAGAGTTCAAGGCCAGCCTGGGCTACATGGGTCTCTGTCTCAAAAAGAACTTTAAAAAAATGAAATGGTGAATTCATGGAGACAAGTAGTTAACTGGATTCATGACAGATACTGGCTCTGCTCACGGTCCTTCTAAAGATGCTCAGATGGGGTCTACATTCCTTTAGTCCTGCTCCGCTAGGACAGTGATTGTATCACATCGTACCCATCGAAAAGAGAGGAAAATCAAAGCAGATTAAATAATAAAATTAAATAAAACTTGTCTGACTGGTCGAGACCGGACAGGAGAGGCAGAAAGCCAATTCTTACAGCAGCTGCTTTCTTTCCCTCCCAGTTTGATGAGAACAGGTACACTAGATCCTGGAGCAATAGACAGGCTGTGAGATGACGAACGTCTCAAAACATGCATTTGAGGTGGGCAAGCACCCCTCTACACCTCCCCGCCCCGCTTCCCACGGTCACTTATTTGATGGGCAGGCTCTCGTACACTGGGACAGTGAGATCTGACTGCACTTCTCGAAGACAGCCTCGGCTGAGAGCTTCGGCAGCCCCTGATCCAGAGGGCACTCATCCACCAAGCTGTTCATGGGCGTGGGGGGCAGCGGCGGGTCCTCTTCGTCTTGACTCAGTCCAGTAATCAGGGAGTTACTTGCTTTGTCCAGTTCCTTGTCCTCCTGCTCCCTGGACATACCCACTACCCCAGGCTGCCCTGAAGGCATCTTCGTTGAGTCAAAATATGCTGACAGGGCTTCCTGGAGCACAGGCAGAAATTTCTTCCGAGAGACCTGGGTGTTGCCTTGAAGATAGGCTTGGAGGTCTGGAGAGATGCTTGGGATAGGGGTCAGCTTCAGGGGTGGGGAGGTGGACTGTTCCAGGACTCCACAGATCTAGAGAAGACAAGAACAGGGGATGATGTGTAATGGCACAGCAAAGAGCTGAGGTCTCCAACGGAGGTGACAAGTATTTTGTCCGCATGTTTGCTGAGACAGGGTCTCACTATGGAGCCCTGGCTGGCCTGGGGCCACAGAGACCCACCCACTTCTGCCTCCTGAGCACCGAGGTTACCTGTGTGCCGCCTGTGTGGATCAAAGCCAGGGCTTCACGCAGCCAGCAAGCGCGCTGCCGGATGATTTAGATCCCCAGATCACCCCTCCACCGCCTTCGGTTTTTTTGACACAAGCTCTTAACATTTAGTGAAGCCCTGGACCTTACTAAGTAGCCCAGGCTGGCTTAGAATGCACTGTAATCCCCCTGCCTCAGCTTCCTATGTGTTGATATTATAAGACACCCTGCATGGCTGGAACATTATTGAGATGACATATTTTGTTTCATTAACAAAGAAATCAAAGTGCACAGAGGTTTTCTTTTCTTTTCTTTTCTTTCTTTTTTTTTTTTTTTTGAGACAGGGTTTCTCTGTGTTGCCCTGGCTATCCTGGAACTTTCTCTGTAGACCAGGCTGGCCTAGAACTTGAAGACACGCCCATCCCTTGGTGGCTCAGAGTTTTTCTTGAGTAAAATCATGTGGATAATGGCAGAACCTGAAACAGTGAAACAGATCCCAGGATCCCTGGCACTTGATATAATGCAAGTTCCATGTGTATATCTATCCATTACAGGGATTGAACTTTCTCTTTGGCCAGGACAGGACTGGCACCCACACGGAGATCACAGGACTAAGGGGAAAGAAACAGAACAAAGTGAGGGTGGGGGGCAGGCCAAGCATGCTGTCCATCTGGCTGTTTACAAATTCCTCACTATACTGGGACAGCTGCTACATTCGCTTACGGTAATTGACGCTTACACAGAACAGGTCCCCGACACTGGAACCCGGACTGTCACCAAAAGCAGTGTTCCAAATGTCTTATACTAGGAGGGAAGGAAGAGACGGCAGGGCGGAGTGTAAAGAGGGTCCTACCTCACAGCACAGCACAAGGAACACGGGTGGCCGCCGTCACCAGACAGAGCGGTTGGCGGGGAGGGACTAGGTTCCGGAAGGTGGAGGGTATTTTCTTATAGCCAGAGTACCTTCCCCTTAACCTGGCTGGTAAGAGCCACTTGTTCTGAACATGGACTCTCCTCGAAACACACTTGATGCTAATGGCCACGTCAGAGTGTGCAGTGATGAGTCTTCCTGGAGTCACAGACTCTGTGAGGCCTCCGGCTTAGCTCGAAGGGCA